TCAGTGAGTTTCACTGATGTACATTTTTGTACATACATGTACTTTCATGTGATTTTCACTGATGTACATACATGTACTTTCATGTGAGTTTCACTGATGTACATACATGTACTTTCATGTGATTTTAACTAATGTACATACATGTGATTTTTACTGATGTACATACATGTACTTTCATGTGATTTTCACTGATGTACATACATGTACTTTCATGTGAGTTTCACTGATGTACATACATGTACTTTCATGTGAGTTTCACTGATGTGCATACATGTACTTTCATGTGATTTTCACTGATGTACATACATATACTTTCATGTGAGTTTCACTGATGTACATACATGTGATTTTAACTAATGTACATACATGTACTTTCATGTGATTTTAACTAATGTACATACATGTGATTTTTACTGATGTACATACATATACTTTCATGTGAGTTTCACTGATGTACATACATGTACTTTCATGTGAGTTTCACTAATGTACATACATGTACTTTCATGTGAGTTTCACTGATGTACATACATGTACTTTCATGTGAGTTTCACTGATGTACATACATGTACTTTCATGTGAGTTTCACTGATGTACATACATGTACTTTCATGTGAGTTTCACTGATGTACATACATGTACTTTCATGTGAGTTTCACTGATGTACATACATGTACTTTCATGTGAGTTTCACTGATGTACATACATGTACTTTCATGTGAGTTTCACTGATGTACATACATGTACTTTCATGTGATTTTAACTAATGTACATACATGTGATTTTTACTGATGTACAAACATGTACTTTCATGTGATTTTCACTGATGTACATACATATACTTTCATGTGAGTTTCACTGATGTACATACATGTGATTTTAACTAATGTACATACATGTACTTTCATGTGAGTTTCACTGATGTACATACATGTACTTTCATGTGATTTTAACTAATGTACATACATGTGATTTTTACTGATTTACATACAATATACTTTCATGTGAGTTTCACTGATGTACATACATGTACTTTCATGCGAGTTTCACTGATGTACATACATGTACTTTCATGTGAGTTTCACTGATGTACATACATGTACTTTCATGTGATTTTCACTGATGTACATACATGTACTTTCATGTGAGTTTCACTGATGTACATACATGTACTTTCATGTGAGTTTCACTGATGTGCATACATGTACTTTCATGTGATTTTCACTGATGTACATACATGTACATACATGTGAGTTTCACTGATGTACATACATGTACTTTCATGTGAGTTTCACTGATGTACATACATGTACTTTCATGCGAGTTTCACTGATGTACATACATGTACTTTCATGTGAGTTTCACTGATGTGCATACATGTACTTTCATGTGAGTTTCACTGATGTACATACATGTACTTTCATGTGAGTTTCACTGATGTACATACATGTACTTTCATGTGAGTTTCACTGATGTACTTTCATGCGAGTTTCATTGATGTACATACATGTACTTTCATGTGATTTTTACTGATGTACATACATGTACTTTCATTTGAGTTTCACTGATGTACATACATGTGAGTTTCACTGATGTACATACATGTACTTTCATGTGAGTTTCACTGATGTACATACTTGTACTTTCATGCGAGTTTCACTGATGTACATACATGTACTTGAGGAAAAATAAAGACATTAGACACAAATGACCACCAAAATTTTGTTGAGAATGCGACCATGCAAGTTTTTCCCACTCCCTTGCCCATGATAGTGTTCTTTCTACTGTCATGTCCACTGTTCCCCT